AACACGGAGGAACACGGAGGAACACAGAGGAACACGGAGGAACACAGGGAAACTGGGAAAGTGATCACATCAAAGCACAAGTCACTTACTGTAAATAAGCACATGAATGTGCAGAGGTTAGAGAAGGTGGGCCTGTGATCGGAAGATCACCGGTTCAAGCCCCAATACCGACAATGTGAAAAAATGTGGGTGGGGTAGGTGAAGCACCCACACCTGTCCCCACCCTCATTTGCCCAACTCTGGGCCCTTGAGCAAGGCCCTTCACCCCCCACCATGTGCTCCTCCGGGTGTACTAGATAGCAGCTCTCTGCTCCACACAGAGGCTGTGGTAGCTCGGTGGTCCGTGGTTGCGTCAGGAAGGACATCCAGCGTAAAAAATAACTTCCAAGTCTTTGTGCGACTTAGTTCGCTGTGGCGACCCCTGAAGGAGCAGCCCAAAGAAAAAAAACATGAATCACAAAACATGAATGAACCTTATAAAGTACTGTGAAGAAACCTAACAAAACCATCCCTCAAAGGGCTGCCTCGAGATGACTCACAAAATAGAACCAAACAAAACTCTATCCTGACTCAGGTGGGAGGAGTGAGGACAGACAGAAGCATTAAAACTAAATTTTAAAAAACCAGGCAAAAACCCAGAGCAATAAATAAACACAAGGAGGTCAAAAGCTAACAGGTGTGTCGCACAGGAGACTACAGACGGGAGGAACTGCAGGAACTTCTGAGACTCTTACTGCAAGTTGTGTTGAGACTGGGGCGGCTGTGGCTGAGTGGTTAGAGCAGTCGTCCTCCAATGGGAGAGTTGGTGGTTCGATTCCACCAGGAGTCACATGCTGAAGTGTCCCTGAGCAAGACACTGAACCCCTCATTGTCTCTGATGTGTGTCCCATCAGTGTATGAATGTGATAAAGCTCTGATTAGTCTCTATGTCTATATGAATATTTTGAATAAAGTAGAAGTGATTTCCTGCATTTTGGTGTATTATGACGGGTTGTTAAACATCTACATTTACCTACGTTTGTAAACACTCGCATCCTCCCCCTCCCCTTACTTGACGGTTCCGAGACAGATCTCTGCTAAATTCACTGTCTGACTCCACATGTGAAACCTCCAGGCACTCACTCCCAAAACTCTTTTAGGGGCAGAGATTTTTTTAAGCATACAGGTGGAAATCCTTCACTTGAAAGGGCAGATGATCGTATGTGATATTAAGAAGTTGTGTTGTGTCGTCTGTTGTGCTTAAAATGAGTGTTTATGTAATTATTTTCAGCTTAACAACAAAAAAGGTTAAATGGTGTCATCTGGACCAGTTTCTTTAAGTGAAGAAACGTTTTGTCCCCCATCCAGAGGACTTATTCAGTCTATGGCCTGCCAACCAGATCTGTCCCATAGGTAGCCTTCACTGCTGTGTTTCAAGGCAACCTCTTGTTGGAAAACAATACAACTTTATTTATAAAGCACTTTAAAACCAACACCGGTGACCAAAGTGCTGCTCACTAACATACAAGCATAAAAACCATAAAATCAACAAATACCATAAAAGTATTTAACTGCCAAATCATAAAACAGCAAACAGTAAAAACAATAAAAACAAATAAATTAAAAATAGTAAAACCAACATTTCAAACTGAGTTAAATCCAAAGAGAAAAAAGTGTCCAGAGAAGCTTTAAAAACAGGAAGTGATGATGTCAAAGGTAGTTCGTTCCACGGTTTAGGGGCAGTGACTGAGAACACTGGATCACCTTCAGCCTCCTGTTAAGAGTTTGGAACAACCAACAGCAGCTGATCTGCTGACCTGAGAGAGCGTGAGAGAACAACAGCTGGAGCAGGTCAGACAGATACTGTGGGGTGAGACCATGAAGACATTTGAAAACAAATAAAAGAACCTTAAAATCAATCCGGAAACCAACTGGGAGCCAATGTAGTGATTCTAAAACAGGGGTGATGTGCTCTAGTTTTCTGGTACCAGTTAAAAGGCGAGCAGTAGCGT